ACTGCCGGAGTGTGTGTACGCGTAACAATACTAACAACACCACTTCACAGCAGTAAAGAGAGGCGCTTTTCCAAAGCATCATCTTAATTCACCGAAGCACGTGAGGAATGCACCCGTTGTCTGTTGAAATATTCGCAAAAAAGTCACCGTGCTTATTGTTTCTGCACATTAATATAATAATTATAATCAATCAGAGCCGTCTTACGCTCACAGGGGATGCATGATTTCACGCTAATTTATGCCTGTGCAGGAGCCAGGTCACTCGTCACGCTATGTGTCCTGGTCTCGCGTGAGTTCTCGACACATGGTTAAACAAAACAACCCCGACACTTGAAGGTCAACAATACATTCCAATCGAATAAGGCAGTTACTAGATGCAGTGCTCGTTAGGCGACAACAACAAAAGTCAACGCGTTAGTAAATAACTCTGGCTGTAAAGGAAAATGTATACTCCACACCGTACAATATATAAACGGGTGGCATTTTTGGACTAATGGCCAATATTCGTGTGTACGAAGGGTCATTCCGCGAAACGTCGTTTATTTCATAGAATTGTTTTCCTTTTAAGGCAGTGTTATTGACGACTTATGTTGAGTTTTCCCAAACAATTCTCTCCACTGCCACCACTGCCCTCGAATTCTCGCCACTGCCACCACTGCCCTCGCAATTCTCTCCACTGGCACCACTGCCCTCGCAATTCTCTCAACTGGCTCCACTGGCCTCGCAATTCTCTCAACTGGCACCACTGCCCTCGAATTCTCGCCACTGCCACCACTGCCCACGCAATTCTCTCCATTGGCAGAAGTGGAATAAAATGAGTTTGGTTGTCTCGTATTGCCATCAGCAATTTGAGTTCCGTGGGCGAAACAAAAACTTGAAGTCGTGATGGATTGGGGTTTTTTCCTTGTGCGTATGACTGCTGATTTTTTGACACTTCTCTATCTTTTTTTTAAAATCCCATTTGTCACGGTGATTTAAAGAGACGTCATCGAAGCTGGAACAAAAAACAAATAACATGCAAATAAGGGAGCCCACTGTTAAGGGTGTATTACAAGTTACGCGTGTCAAAAAAAGTGGGGATTTGACTGATTATGTAAAGATGTGTCACAGCTGCCAGCAGGTCTGGAAGACTTTGCTGTTTTTTTCCTGGATTTTTCTGTTCATGTTTTTGTTTGTTGCGGTTGCACCCGATTCAAGAGCCGAATGGTTCACAGGGCTACACCAAATAAATGAAACTAAAACTGAAAGGTCTCTGACGAACACTGTCATGTGATATGTGACTTTGACTCTGCATAATAAACAGCCCATCGACACCCATTACCTTTTGTTGCACTATAGTCCTGGAGATAAACTGCTTTAATGTATTTCTGTGATTGTCTATAGTTATGTACTGCAGATGTCTCTGCTAACGTTATTTCGCGGTGTGTGTGTGACTGTCAAATGGGGAGTGGTGGTGCAGTGGTTAGCGCGCTGCACTGCCACGAACTCCTGCGATCCAAGTTCGCGTCCCGCTCACGGCCAGCACCAGTGACGATTATCTGAGCTGGTTCTGGGCCTCCCCTAGGTCGACTCAGCCTCAAATGAATACCTAGTGCGGTGTGTAAATATCGCCACTGGGGAGACAAAGGTGGTCGGGCGTGGTGCTGGCCACTCACCCCATCGGCCTTCATAGGTGCTCGCTGACAGCACTTGTCCCAACAGTCTGTTAAGACTGTACGGGGAATCTTTGTTGTCAAATCGGGAGTAGTGGTGCAGTGGTTAGCGCGCTGCGCTGCCACGACCCCCCCCCCCCCGCCCCCCCCGCGACTCGGGTTTTGATTCCTGCCCAACAACCAACATGAGTGACTAATTTCGGAACCGGTCATGCGCCTCCCCTAAGTCGACTCAGCCTTAAATGAGTACCTAGTGTGTAAACATCACCACTTGGGGAAACAAAGGCGGCCGGGCGTGGTGCTGGCCACCCACTTCCCACAATGCCGTGTTGGGCCTTCATAGGTGCTCGCTAACAGCACTTTCCCCAACAGTCTGTGTATGCTATACGGGGATCTTTGTCTTTGTGTAGTCAGACACATTATATGTAGTCTATCCTACATCTGGTATTTATATATAGACCCTAAAATAAAACGATTCATCAAACGGCATTTATCACGTCGCTTATTTTGTTTTATTCAGATCAAAATTACCAACTTTTTCGTGCTAAACTGTTGCATTTCATTTCGAATGAAAGCTTTTTCTGACGAGGCATCGAATGGGCTCAGACATTTCTCGTTGGCTGTTCCAGCCGGTGATTGTCAACAACATCTGGATGTCTGCAGCGTCGTTCATGTAGCCACTCTGTGCATTGCGCAGAGTATGGATATCCATGGATATGTTGAGGTATACAAATAATAACGTGTGCGCATTATCCATAATTGCATTTTTTGTGGGTTAGATCGCATAAAAATGTGTAGTTAAATCCGCCACCACCCGACACAGCCAATTTGTAAGCTGTGTCACGTCCACACAACGTTTCGGTTAGTTACTCGTTCAGCACACCGGCATATTGGAGAGTAAACCCACAACATTTACAATTCGAGTACGACGTTTAGCCAGTAATTACAACCAGCCTCATCGAGCTACAGCCCTACTAATTGTCTGTCGGGTGGTGACGGGTTTAACGACACATATTTACGCGATTGTACCCGAAAAAAACAACCTCTATTATGGATCATGTTGGCCGCAAAAAGGCTGCCACGTGTTAATGTGCCGTGCGTGTATTCTCTTTGCAGGCTGCGAACACACAGAGACAACTCCAACATGGACCTTACTCTTGACTTTGACTCGGAAGCCTTCTTGAACGTCACCGACTACTGGGATCTGGAGCCGACGTGCAACGAGTCTACAGACGGAAACTGCAGCTCTTTCTACGAGCACTTCGATTGCCCACACGTCCTCAACAAGGGCGCCCTTCTCATCGGCATATCCATCGCTTACCTCGTCATCTTCGTCGTCGGAGTCGCAGGCAACGTGGCCGTGTTCTGCTTCAACGTGTTCTTTCACAAAAACAGGTTCGAAACTCATCTGTACGTCGTCAACCTCGCCATTTCAAACCTGTGCATCGTACTCATCATGCCCGTGATGGTGGCCTCGTTTTTGCACGACGACCAGTGGCTCTACGGCAACTTCCTGTGCAAGCTCACCAACGTCACCTTCAGCGTCAACCTGTTCGCCGGCGTGTTCTTCGTGACCGCCATGAGCGTCGACAGGTACATCACCTTCGTGCACTTCCACGAGGCGTCCAGCCGGCGGAAAGAACGCGCGCGCCTCTTGATATGCGCCATCGCGTGGCTGCTGGCCGTGGTGGCGTCGCTGCCCGAGATCATCTACATCCGAGCCGTGACGACGCCCAGCGGCGAGACCCACTGCCGCGCCGACCTGCCCCCGGACCACTTTTTCAGGTGGATGGCCAGCATCAACCTGCTGTACAACACGCTGGGCTTCGTCGTGCCCTTCCCAATGATCGTCGTCAGCTCGGTGCTCCTCTACCGGGCCATCGCGTGGCACGGCCTCTCGGAGAGGAACAACGGCCGCGCGATCGTGCTGGTGTACGCGACGGTCTTCGCCGCCTGCTGGACCCCCTACCACGCGCTCTTGCTGGTGGATGCGCTGGCGCTGCTGCGCGTGCTGCGGTTGGGCTGCGCGATGGACGAGGCGCTGTACGCGGGTCTGCACGTGGCGCAGTGCCTCGCCGTGGGCCAGTGCTGCGTGAACCCCGTGCTCTACTGCTTCGTGGACAAGCGGCGCCGGCAGGAGTTCATCCGCTCCGTCGTGGTCAAGTTCAAGGCGAGCACCGCCTCGCACGACCTGCTCGCGGAGGACTGCACCGTCATCACTCAGGACACGGAATGCGCGGTCATACTGCCGAACCGATCTTAGGCGGACCGCTGACTTTGAAGCGAGTTTGTTTGGAAAAATTCAAGACCCCCCGCATGGTGCACGCGTTTACCCAGCAATAGATAGGGCTTGTATCCAAATGTAAAACTTTGCTGCTTAAATTGTCAACTGTATTCTATGATGTGTAAAGAATGACCAAGTAAGAGTTTGCTAGCCGTGAAAAAAAACCTGTAGATGCTAAAATACTTTTCTTATATATATACAATGTTACATTTATACAGAGTGCTTGTATGTAATACTGGATAATATTGGTAAGTAAAATATATTTTACGACATGTATTTTCTAGGTATGAGACAAACAGGACTAAAAATCAATGGTATAAATTTCCCAAGCTGAAATGTTAACTTTTTTATTGTATAGAATTATAAATTCCATAATGAAAACGTATTTACAAGAGAAAGACTTGAACGTCAATGTTTAATAACTACAATTTAAAATACTCAAGAGACGATGAATGTTGTAACGGATCTACTGTCACAAACCATTCAACATTTCAACTATTGGATCGTAAAGATACCGCACGATTTTTCGAATAAAAAAAATAAACCCCTTTGGAATCGCACGAATGGAGTACTGTATTCAAGATATAAACAATATACAACTATATTGAGATTGCTTACTCATAACAAGCTGTAAGTTGTAATAACATGTGCTGTAGAGCCATTCATATTCTTACCCATTAATGCTATTTCAGAGTTTGGGGGTGCGGGGGGGAGAGGGGGGAATGTCTCTGCCTCTGCTCCCACATGTGCCGCTGGACGGGAGGTGATGGATGGGTGCTTGGTGATGTCATCATTACACTGGGCGTGGCTTTTAGGCGGTTTCCCACCTACAGGAAGCATGATGCCGTCGGGGCGAGCACAATTTTTAAAGAGACCCAAGAAATCGACCGCAACAAAAAAAATGCGGATTACTAAATTCAGTCGATTGATCGATTTAATCGTCGCAGCTCGATTTTTGTTTTACCATCTTCCATCAAATGCAGAAGGATGTCAGTTTCTGTCTCAATACAGAAACTGCAAACATAGCGTGGGTGGGATGGGGTGGGGGGGGTCACTCTGCAGACGCAAGCGAAGTTGTCATTCGGGCTGCACTACCAAGGGGGGTGCAGCAGAGTACGGCTGGATGACGCCAACGTCTCGCCAAGGCCACGGGGGGGCTTGCTTCATCACACATCTGACGAAATCGACTCACACAACGTGCCGCTTCCACGACCCACCACCCCACCCCCCCGCCAAACCACCACGTCATTACGCAGTGGGGCTGCATGACCAAGGTACGCGCACATTTGGTGGAAACAAAGGTATCCATTTAAATGCCAGCGTAGGATTTATGTGTGACCACCGCTAAGTGTTTGGGATGGTGCCATCGTCGTCGTCGTTATCGTCGTTGGGGAAATTTTGCCAAAACTGCTTCGAATCCGCAGAGCTCAACAATGCGTTTGTCAATAACACTCTGGCCTTAAGAGGGGAAGGAAAAATAAATCCACGTTTTGGGCAATGGCCTTCCTGCCTGCATATGGAGAAGGATAACATGGGGCAATTGCCCAAAACGTCGCCTATTATTTACGTTTTAATTTTAAGGGCAGTACCGCCAAATAATGTTTGATTTGGTCCGAACTTAGGTAATCCAGATATTAATTTCGCATCGTTCCTTTACAGGCCCGTGTTGAAGAGCTACCGCTAGCGCGCACAATACCATGGATGAAAACGAGCCGTGGGACGCGACCTCGAATTACTCCTACTTGGACGCACCGCTGCCGGACGTGTCCGACAGAGTGTGCGATTTCCTCGACTGCCTGCCGTGCAAGACGGTGGACAACGACGCCTTCAACGCTGGAACCTCCATCCTCTACGGCACGGCGTTCGTCCTCAGCCTCGTGCCAAACCTCGCCGTCCTTTGGCTACTGGCCACCGACCACCCGCCGGGCTCTCGCGTGTCGACAGCGCTGCTGCCCCTGAGCCACACCGCCGCGAGCCTCTGCGGCATCTCCACGCTGCCGGCGCTCGTCGTGGTGACGCGACACGGCGTCGGCCACTGGCCGTCGGGCGCCGAGGCCCTGTGCAAGCTGCTGTTCTTCACGTTCGAGCTCTACCAGTACGGCACTGCCCTCTCGGTGGCCTCCATGGGAGTGGAACAGTTCTCCACTTTCGGGAGCGGGACGGGCGCGAGGGCGTCGATGTGCGCCGCGTCGTGGCTCCTCGCCGTCGGCGCTTCGCTGCCCAGCCTCGTCGTCGTGACGGCGACGGGCGGCCAGAGGTGCGAGCCGGACCTCGACCCGGAGAGCGCGCGCACGTGGGAGGCGGCCGTCGGCGTCCTCGGCGTCTCCTTGGGGTGCGCGACGGCCGTCGCGGTTTTCGCGTCGTTTTACATCGCCGCCCGCGGGGACCCGGCGTTCGACTGCAGCGGGCGGCGAGAGCTTGCGCGCGTTTACTTCTGCTTGTTCCTGTTCTGCTGGCTGCCGTACCACACCCTGCTCTTGGCGGAGGTGCTGAAGTTGGCGGATTTCTTGACGTTTGACTGCGTTGCGGCCGAGGGGGTCTTCTATGGGAAACAAGCCGCGCAGTGCCTGGCATTCCTATACAGCGGCGCGACTGCGTGGGCATTCATCGTTTTGAAATACGCGAGGCCCGCGCGACAAGCAGGTGGCACGGCGCAAACCGCCCTTGCCCTATCTTAGGCGTGGATGTGCGTACTTTGAACTTCAACAACACCGCACGTAGCCAGCCCGTGCTAATCGGATGAGGTGCAAAGTCAACGATATGATTGGCGCAACTTCCTCCCGCATTTGCAACCTCCGCTTGCGGCGCAGTGGTTAAAAGCCGCTGTGCTACAATTTCCGGCGACCCGAGTTTGATTCCAAACCACGGCTAGCATCGGCGGCGGGCGATATCCGAAGCGGTCCTGGACCACCCTTCCACCCGGGTCACTTCGCCAACCCGCACTGAACCAGCGTGGTGAGGTATGGTCGTACGACACGGGGCGGAAAGGCTTCCATCAAGTTGTGGACTGGCAAAACGGCCGGTACAGTTCTTATGTCACGACCGTCGTTAGGCTGCAAAGCAAAAAAAAATGCGGCGAATGCTTACACGCACATTTAAAAAATATATATACCGAAAAGGCTGACATCATATTCAGAGGCTCTCCAAGGCCTTTTCTAATTCAGCCGCATGTGGCTCGGGAGTGGCGGGGTGCATCCCTTTACACCTTCATTTACCGTACAAAAGCATTTAAATAGATACATTGTCAAGACTGCGCCTGTCACATGTGTGCCGACCGCAAGACAAACGAGCGAATGCGTTCGGAGGGGGGAGTATCTAATAACGAACGAGGCTTGGTAAAACGCGACCGTACATCAACAGTGTTGCTTAGGTTGGGAAATCAACAGAGTTTTATTGGGATGAAGCAAGCAGCCTTCTTTCGCGAAGCTGTCGAGTGAAGATCAGCGGTAAGATAATGCCTCGGGCGTGACGTGAAGCCACGTGAGGGTTTATGGCGATAATCTCCGGGCCCGCCAGCCAGAACTGCGGCTTTAAGCATCTCGCTGCTTTCACTGATCCTGTTTTCATTTTCTACGGCTCATTTATATACCTAAAAAAAAAATTCAGCGTGTGTGCGCAGCAAAATGTATATGCGCAACCATTACCGCACCTACTTGGGTCATCGGTACATTTTGACGTACAGGCATGTTATGTCATAGAGTTGTTTGGGTATTCTTCACCTATGACATTAACCTCTGATACTTTTTTTTAATTAGAGGGACAATGCACCCGCGGATTGTCGAAGTTCCACCGTCTGTTGCTGAGATGCCATTCCATCCTAAATATCAGCCTCTAAACATCGTGATACTGTATGTAGCATTAAGGCTAAACAGGTTTCCTTCGCTCTGTGTGAGAGTAAATGCGTTACTTAAAAGGGGGGGGGGCACACGAAGTGAAACCGCGCAAATTAACCCATCGACTATCTAAAAATCGATGTCTTTGTGTGTTTTTGAAAAGGCATCATTTTTTACATTGTAGTATCAATTAAAATCTTATATTAATACTACATATTAACTAGGACTCTGTGGGTGTAAGAATGCATTCCATTTCCATCAGGTTATGAAACGTGCGAGTTAGTTTTTTTTCTGATTAAAATGAATGTTCGAAATAATGCTCGTAATTATATGTACATTTACTTCAATGATTACACATGCTCTATCGTATACAGTAAAACCTTGGATTGAGAGCATAATTCGTTCCGGAAACATGTTTGTAATCCAAAGCACTCGTATATCAAAGCAGTCGTATATCAGTTGTGATCACGTGACGCTCGGCAGACAAAGCGTACACGTACTACTTGTATTGCAAGATCCTCGCTCGTTTATCAAATTAATATTTATTTAAAATTTTGCTCGTCTTGCAAAACACTCGCAGACCAAGTTACTCGCAATCCAAGGTTTTACTGTACCTTTGTACTGCACTAAAAAAAAATAAACACTGAAATTATTACATATTTCTAAACCCTTTCATCACATTCCACATGATACTTTTGTAAATCCCTTATTCTTAACTGCAAATCACAAACCTTTGCAGCACATCGCCAAAACGGTACTTGCGTGTGCCGGATGAACGTCACACGAAGCCTGATCAGAAGAACAATTTCCCCTTAATTCTCCCTACGATAGTAAACATCGGTCACAATCACCACGGCCGAATCGCGCAGCGCAGTCCTCGGTCCGGTAAGGCTGGGCGGCTCACGCGGTGGTCACGTGATCACAGCCTCGCCTTCAGCTGCTCCCCGAGCTCTTGCTTGCCGATGGCCGAGAGGTGGACCTCGTCCGGCCCGTCTGCCAACCGCAGGGTGCGCGCCATCGCGAGCCTGGAAACGCAGACGCAGACGCCGCACGCGCCGCCGGGTGACGACCAAGTCGGGAGATCTTCGCGACAAGGGATGCCCGCGAGGGAAAGAGAGGGCACACGAAGGACAGTTGCGCTCCATGTCACCCGGCCCGCAATCGGAGTGCACGCAGAGAGCAGAGAGAACAATAAGGAGGGGCACAGGTTGGGAGTAGTTGCATTCACTTCTTGCTCGACTGAATTTTAGGGGAGATGAAGAGGTTGAGGTGGGTCGGGGATGTCAGCGGAAAGGAGAAAGGCAGGTTACCTATACGGGAACTAGAGTGGCATTCGGGAGTTGGAAAGCGAGCGGATGACCTAAAGTCAGACGGTGATGAGATCCCAAGAGGAGACCTTGCAGATATGGTATCAACTGTGCAAGAGTTGCATGGTCTAGCAGAAGGAAATCATTGGCGAGGTGTGGTTAACGGCTCAGGCAATTGCTGCCTTTAATTATCGGCCTTGATCTCAGGACTGGAAAAAAAAACCCCGAACTATCTGTAAAGGACCGCTCTGTAAACCCTTAAAACGACAAAGTGCTTACATGTGAGCGAGAGGGAAGTCTTCTGAGACCCCTGCACCCCCGTGCACCTGAATGGCGCGGTCCAACACTTTGCAGGCCATGCGGGGGGCGGCCACTTTGATCATGGAAATCTGCGGCGGCGACAACAGGCAAAGACCACACAGAGTCCACGGAGGCGTCATCATCTCATTGTCGCATGCTGCAAACAAATTCCGTTAGCAAAGACAAAGATCCCTCGTGTAGCCTTAACAGACTAGCGAGTTGGACCTATGAAGGCCGGCAAAGCACACGGAGGGGTGGGTGGCCAGCACCCCGCCCGGCCGCCTTTGTCTACCCAGTGGCAACATTTACACACCGCACCAGGTCATCATTCTAGTCTAAGCCGACCTAGTGGAGGCCCAGGACTGGTTAAAATAATCATCACTGGTGTTGCCCGTGAGCGGGAATCGAACTCGGATCGCCAGTTTCGCAGCGTGGCGCGCTAACATTCTACACTACTGCTGCCCCATAGTCCCTTACACATACACGATATAACATACACATGCAGAATTGAAGCCTAAACTTTAGTTTAGTCATGCATACCGATCGTCATTGTAGAGTGAGCACTCATAACACATGCCAAATGCCGACCCAGGGGAGGCCCAAGGCTGGTTCAGATAATCGTCACAGGTGTTGGCCGTGAGCAGCGTACTGCACGTCCACCATGCCACACTCTGCAACTGTGCGATTCCGATCGACCATCGTGCCACGCGAGTCGAGACTCGCCAAAATTCATCATCACCGCTGCCCAACGACGGGAAAAATACAACAGCCGTGCGGTGGTGTATTGGGACGTGGCCCCTAGCAGAGGGAGGGGCAGGGAGACTGGAAAAGGACGCCGCTAACCCCGTGTGGTGCTGAGAAAACTGGAAGCCCTTTTAAAGAAAGTTGACAAAAAAAGCATTTTAGATTTGCGCGTGAGCAGTTCCCCGGCGGACGACGTTGATTATCCAAACTCTTAGGAAATCAAAACATTCACGCGTCTATTACATTTTGAACAGTAAAATGTGCGCGTTGAAATGCATAAAGGGAAGATGGGTGTGGACAGAAAGACTACAAGTCAGCTGTATTTATGAAGAAGACAAAACACATTTTCTCCCTGCACCAGTAAACAATAGCGCAGCACTCATCCCCGCTGGTGACCATAAGCCAGTGGTGGAAATTATACGTTTCCATGGAAGGGCCCAGTCTATCAATGCGATGCACTGTTGTTGACCGCTGTTGACTTCCCATGGAGCGGTTACTCATCGGCCGTGGGTGGACGACAGGCCGAGTCCTACTGGACATCTGTGAAAAATAGTTCTATAAAGCTCATGGGGGATTCCACCAGTATAAATAAAGATTCTGATTCTGACCCCCGACCTGGATTTGAGCCCGCTGGCTACAACGCTACCTCAGGCCGGATGACAAGATGGGAAAACAGAGTCGCCACCTCCTTACTCTTTGGTTCTATTCGGTAAAGTCACGTAAAAGTATAAAACAACAAAAATAAAAAATACTAATAAAAATAAAAAATTCACGACGTTTCGGCCACAACAAAAGTGGCCTTCATCAGGTGAAGGGACGAGACTGACTCGAGGACAGCGCTGGAGCGACCTTTAAAGGTCGCGGTCTGAGCTTGGCTGTGTTCGCTCCAGCGCTGTCCTCGAGACAGTCTCGTCCCTTCACCTGATGAAGGCCACTTGTGTTGTGGCCGAAACGTCGTGAATTTTTTAAAAATACTTTTACGTGACTTTATCGAATAGAACCAAAGAGTATGGATCCTTGCAGTCACGAAAGCTTCAAATCTAGAGTCGCCACCTCCTTGCGGGCACGGGCGGCGCCCACGGCGTCGATGGCGTGCGCAGCTTTCAGCGTCAGCAGCCGCGACTGCTCGATCTCCAGCCGGCACTCGGCCACCTGGTGAAGGACGACCTCCTGGAGGGGCATGAAGGGGGGGGGGGTGGGGGGGGTATGCGTGGGTGGGGGGGGGTATGCAGGTCCACACGAGGTCACAGTGCGAGAACACTCCAGGGTCAGCAAGGGACTCGGGCGCTCGCAAACGACCTCTGCGCGACGTCGAAAACAAGTTTCAAAACAACACACGGAGATGTGTAAAGAGCACAAAGACAAAGACCACCGTATAGCTTTGACAGGCTGTTGGGGCAAGTGCTGCTGGGGGAGCAGCACCGATGAAGGCCGGCACGGCACACGAGGGGGGGGGGTGGGTGACCAGCACCACACCCGACCCGCGATTTGTCACAGATCGCACCAGGTACTCATTTGAGGCTGAGTCGACCTATGGGTGGCCAAGGACCGGTTCAGTTGGCCGGGTTCGTAGCACAACGCGCTAATCACTGCGCCACTGTTCCCCACCTGTGTAAAGAGCGCACAGCCTCTGTGCACGTGCAATTAATGTGGGCATTTGCTGAAGAAGTGCATTGTGTTTTTTTTTAGCAATTGCACAAAAGGTTGTGTGCTTTTTGAAAAAATGTTGAGTGTTTTTTTTTACTTGTGGTTTTTCCGGCCTGCACTGTTATTCTGTTACAATGGGGGTTTTCGCGTCATTAACAGATGTGATTCCCGAGCTAATGGGGCCCACAGCGTGCATGTGGGGACTCCACACACGTAGTTTTCAGAGGAAAGCCTTTGCAGCGGTGGACTCTGGTGACTCTACTGTGCTGATGAGACCTCATGATGATGGAACCGGTCCACAGTTGTCTATTACTGTGTCACTGCTGTCGAGCACGATTGTTCAAATTAATTTTCATGTTGACCTAAGTAAGACAAGAGGAACCACGATGCAGTCTCAAGAACTGACGGTGTATTTTTTCCCAAAATGCACGTAGGCTGTGATGTTTTTTGCACGTTACCGTGTTGTTGTTGTTTGAAATGTATGGTTTCTCCGGCCTGCGCTATTATTCCGTTATGACGCTTGGGTTATTCTCCTTATATATAAATTTGACTTTCAAAAATATAAATCAAGTCAACGTGCCTCACTTGTCATTTACCGCTTCATATTAACAACTTAAGCATGAGATTCGAGCCTAAAAATAAAGAATAAAGTGATCAGGCGTCACCATAATCGATTGAACTCATGAGGAACGAGCGGCCGAGTCGACTTGACCTTAGATTTGACCTTTGACACGAGTCCAAGTGCGAGTGGCACGCTCTAACTCGGCCTGGGTTCGCCGCAGGTGCGCAGGCAGCAACATTACTTGGCAGGCACGGCAACTGGAAATTTGAAAGAGTGTTATGAGATGATTTACTCTATCTGATATCCGTTATGGCTTTGCGTGGACGATGAATCAGTAAGAAATAAAAACGCATTCGCCGCCGGGCCAGGGAATGCGGCGGAGACGCACATGTGTGGAATTGCGTTTGAGAACCCCATGGAATGTTGCGTGGCAGGCTCGTAAGTACTTTATTTTTTCCCCAGGAAATTTTACGGAACTCTTGAGGACACCTCTCGTGCCAAAAGAATGCCGTATGGAATTACTCGTTTGGGGATTACACATAGCAGCCTCCTGACAAAACAGTCCCGAGACTCGGTGAGGCTTTCCTAGCTCGACAAGCACAGTACATAATAACAGTAAATATGCATCCCTAAAGCACTTGTGAGAAATAGGAGGCGCTGTCATTTTCCCAATTAACCCTTTCCCGTTCCCGTTAATGTTATCGGTACCGTGGCTCCCAGCTATCGTAGAGTGCGGTCGTGTCACTACAGTTCTCTGCGGTGAGTACAATGTCTTTAAAAAACAGCTGCGCTACGCCTCTCTCAATGAAATTAACGCTGAGCCCCTTTGCGTGTCCTGACATTGAGGCGAATGGGACCCACTCTGCAACTTGCAGATGCTTCGGAACGGCACTAATACAAAAATCCTGTCAAAACCTCTCCGCGCAAGAACCGCGAGGGGGTGCGGGGCAGCGCTTACGTGCTCGTAGAGCTTGCGGCCGAACGCCTGCCTGGTGGCCGCTCGCTGGCACAGCAGCTCCAGCGCCCTCTCGGCCAGTCCCACCGTTCGCATGCAGTGGTGGATGCGGCCGGGCCCCAGCCTGCCCTGGGCGATCTCAAACCCCCGGCCATCGCCTGCGACAAACGGAGAATGTACGCGCGGAATGTTCTCCTGTTAACGCCGCGTGCTTATCATCACGCGAATTGGACACAACGCGATTAATGTATTTGGGAACATATTTTTGTTATAACGCGGATGCGGATTGGATCAAACGCGATTGAGTGGACGGAACTACGTCGCGCGAGTAGGAATAAGCGGCCGTACGGCTGCCTCGGCGTAGCATCACACAAGAAGCTGGATGCTTCTAGATGCTACCCACGTGCCTCAGTCTTTGTTTTCGCTGCGTACGCATCTCACGTGGTACTGCGGACTGTGCTTAACCCTATGTTAATGATTATTTATTAGAACGCAATTTTTCCTAAACGCGGTATTTTTCAGGGACGCAACTACCGCAGCGTTGTGGGAGAACGGACCGTACACGCACGTTGGAACTTATTTCCCACCGCACGTAGCACAACCGGAGGTGCGGGGAGAATGCGACTCGACAATCGGTCGGCGTGGGTTTGTTGCGAGCGAGGACTCGTCAAGCTCCGTTGTTTGTCCACGGCGACCGGGCCAGAGCGGCGGGCACGTTACGCAGGAAGGCACGACTGTTTGCCAGGGCTTGGACACAAGAGTCCGCAGGCCCAGACCAGACATTTCACTTGTCGGTGCCGCCGGAGGTGTGCGTACGTTGAACTTCTCTCGCACCGCGCGTAGCCAACGGCGCTAATTGGAGGTGGGCATAGCTTCAGCTGTGTGTGGCCAACGACGGCGACTCATGCGATAACGATTTAACGTGAGTGGGGCGGTCAAATAATACACATTAGTAATCGCCATTTTATGTGCGGTGAAATTATTATGTTTATTTTGTTCAAGTAACAATGCAAATGGTGTAATGTCAGATTTAAGAAAATTTGGAGGAAACGAAACTGTACGAATGAGTTACCCTGGGAAGTTACTCACCCAGCAGTATGTTGGAGGCAGGAACTCGCACGTTCTCAAAGTGGATTTCAAAGTGCCCTCCATGAATGGCATCTGCACAGCACAGACACCACCGCCACCACACCGTTACCACACCACCGCCACCACGCTGTTACCACGCCACCACCACCATACCACCACCACACCACCACCACGGAGACACCACCGTCGCCCCACCGTCGCACCACCGTCGCTCGGAACGCTCGGGGAATGCCATTCGTGATCGTTAAATCCGCGAGCATTCGACAAGGCTGGACAAAACAGCTCACCGTCATAACCAAACACCATCAGGGGCCTGATGATCTTAACTCCCGGTGTGTCCATGGCAACCAGGATCATGCTGTGCTGCTTGTGTCTGGAGATGACAGCCAACCACAAGTGGCATTTGGCATGTGTTACCAGTGCTCACTCTACAATGACGACAGGTACGCATGATCAAACTATTCCCAGTTTAGGCTTCAATTCTGCATGTGTGTGTTATATAGTGTACGTGTAATGGACTATGGGGCAGCAGTAGTGTCGCGGTTAGCGCACCGCACTGCGAACCCGGCGATCCGAGTTCGATTTCCGCTCACGGCCAACACCAGTGACGATTATCTGAACCGGTCCTCGGCCTCCACTAGGTCCCCTTAGCCTAGAATACCTGGTGCGGTGTGTAGAAACATCGCCGCTGGGGAGACAAAGGCGGTCGGGCGTGCTGCTGGCCACCCATGCCTTTAGTGTGCCGTGCCGGCCGTCAAAAGTGCTCGCTAACAGCACTTGCCCCCACAGTCTAAGGCTACATGGGGGAATCTTTGTCTTTGTGCAGGAACTATGGGGCAACGGTAATGTAGCGGATAACGCACCGCACTACGAACCCAGCGACCCGAGTTTGATTCCCACTCACGACCAATAACGGTGGACAATATTTAAACGTCACACCTAACCCCCTCCACCCACCACCCACCTGGCCAGGGAATCATCTCCAGTCCTTCCCATCACCACCGCCAACGTGCAGTTTGGGTTACCAGCTCCTGAGCAACAGAGACAAGGGGAGCGTTGGTACAAACGGAGAGGAGATCGCGCGGCGAGCTCAAAATATCCTGTCCCTCGCTGTAGATGTACGTGCTATGAAGAAGGGCCATCGCCCAAAAACGTTGCCGATTTTAGATATGTTTTTTAAGGCAGTGTCATCGATGGACGTGTCCTGTTGTGTCCTGAGTTGTTGTTGTTGATTGTGCTTGTGCACAACTGCCAATGCAGCAGCAGCAGAATCTGCCTCTTTGACGAGTGCTAGCTTCAAGGGTTTTGGAGGTGGCGGCGGCTACTCTGCACCTTACTGCCTGCGATACAGCGCTGCAGAGGCAGCAGCGAGGGTTGGTGGCTCACACCCAGATCATTGTTGTGAACTCCCTTCCCGTGGGTGTCGAGGAGGAGCCCATACCCTTGCTTTCCGGGAGAAGGCAGTACAGCCATTGAACTAATCGCCATCTGTTTCAATCTGTACGGGGATAGTGTGTTGCCCCCTCGTGCAAAGCATAGGTTTTTCAGCAAATGCTCGGGTTTCCTCCACAACGTGTAACAATAAACACAACTCATCATGAGTTGGGCTGAAAACTATTTCAAATACAAGCCCCAAATGTAGCACCAGGAGCCACCTGAAGAAGAGTCCTACGACTCAGTGTGGCTCTCCTGGATAAATAAGTCGTTTATTATAAACATCGAACCCCTAAGACTATTGAAGGTGACAGACTGGCTCCCACAGCTTTGAGCAATAATACCCTGAACCCCTGAGAAATCCAAGGGCATCTTGGCTTGGATCTGTGCACATAATCACTCACTGACAAAGATGCGGTATTCAAGATGACAATCAAAACCATCCACATGAACTTGTATCTTGCCTTGGGCCCTCTAATTGTACTTCCTTTCATAGCATCGCAGTTTACAGCTGCATAGCGCAGTAATGATAACAAAACACGCGACAACGGTTACGTAAATTACAAACACAGGGGAATGCAAAACGAGTTCAGATAACCATCGCAAGCAAGAAGTAACATCGCAGAAAAAGCCCTGATCAGCTGACAGTCAGGGTTGCTGCTGTCTGTCCGCACCAAGCTGTAACAGCTAGTACCACCACGTGACGTGGGCTAGAGGTGGTACCAGGCAGTACCACCACGTGACTTGGGCTAGAGGTGGTACCAGTCAGTAGCACCACGTGACGTGGGCTAGAGGTGGTACCAGTCAGTAGCACCACGTGACGTGGGCTAGAGGTGGTACCAGGCAGTACCACCACGTGACGTGGGCTAGAGGTGGTACCAGTCAGTAGCACCACGTGACGTGGGCTAGAGGTGGTACCAGGCAGTACCACCACGTGACGTGGGCTAGAGGTGGTACCAGGCAGTACCACCACGTGATGTGGGCTAGAGGTGGTAACAGGGAGTACCACCACGTGACGTGGGCTAGAGGTGGTACCAGGTAGTACCACCCCATGCTAGGCCATGACTGCCGATGGCAGACTGCTGGTTGGTGTTAGACCAGTGCCGCTTCAAAGGCAATCGGGGTCCCAAGTGAAAAGCAGTCCCGGGTCAATGGAAAGAGGCCTAAGTTAGGGAAGTGCCTTGGCGGGGTCCGCGAGGATAGAGGGTTACGAGTGGCACCGCCCATAGCGATTCAATCAATTGTCAAAATTCGGCTCGTACGATTCAAATTTAAGTGTCGATTAATTGTTGCCCCGTTCATACGGTCTCATTTTGTATTCTCCGCCTCGTAACGTGTCCTGTTTGTTCCGTCTGGTTTGTTTCGTTAGCCCCAAGGTTAAGTACGTTGAGTATTTAGTTTACATCCGAGGCTAAAGGTGCAGCCCTGAAAATACTTGCACACGAAACTGATGGCAGAAGAGCCTCCATTGGAGGAAGCTCAAGAAAGCCCCTGTCAATGGTGTTTGGCCTTCTCTTACGTGCAAATTTGAACATACAGTGCACGTAAGAATCGATTGCGGATTCGCCTATATCGGTGAATCAGTACTGTTCTGATGCAAGTCTGTGGGTGTTTGCCACCCTTGCAGCCGTGAGTCCTCGTCAGGGACACCAGCCCCGTCGCCCAACCGGCCGGGCCTGGCATCGCTCACCACTGCTCCACCACTTGCGCCCATTCACCACGTAGTGGTTGCCGTCCCTCCGGATGCTGCACATGATGTTGGTGGCGTCGCTGGATGCCACGTCGGGTTCTGTATGGGGGGGGGGGGGGGGGGAATGTATGAATATAAATGTCTAGATGCTGAACTTCTTTCGCACACTGTACGTAGCCAACCATGCAAATTGGACGTGCGGTCTATATTACAATGGACTATATACAATGATGCGAACAATATTATTTCCGCTATATAACTCAGCTCAAGCCTCCCGTAAATAATGTGACTGCTTTGTGGCCACCCCCACGCTGAATCCCTCCGCTCTCCTTGCTGCCCCCTGTCAAAACACAAACACATGCTGCACCGTGCAGCTCACCTCTCCTTGCACCTTCCTGCTCTCCATCTCTTTCCTCCCCTCTCATAATCACCCTCTTAACGCCGCCCTCTCAACGTCGCCCTCTCAACGTCGCCCTCTCGACGTCGCCCTCTCATCCCCGACAGCTGGGCCTGGTCATTTCCTTCTCCCCTTCCTCCTCCTCCCCTTCCTCCCTGACGCTCATCTCGAGCCGTTCCCTCTTTGTCTGCCTCGGGGACTTTCCGTCCTGGCATCTCTTCCCTTTGCCGACGCAACAGATTTTTACTTCAGTGGCGTGGCCCCCAAAACAACAAAAAAATCACAGCACTTGGTCGCTGGAGGCGCTTATATAAATCATAACCCCAGCGCGAACAAAGTGCCAAAGTTTAAACACCCGGTGCTCGCCAGGGCACGACACAACTGCGCGTTACGCAAGCGCGTGCGACTCGTGGCGCTCTACCGATGCCCCGTTACGAAAGCAACTCGGAGCAGGTGGAGGTGGTGGTGACGGTGGTGGGGGCTTTCGTCTGCCAGGTTGGCGGCAAAAGTGTTCGCGTCTGGCCAGACATTCGATGCTGTCGGCCCAGTGCATCGTGGGCAGCCTTAATCTGTCCACCGGATTATCGATTGCGGCTTGGAGTGCAGCCCTCGCGGCATGCCGATGACCTGTCATGCAAAAGCAGGAGTGGATCTCCCCGCGCAGCAGGGGCTCCAGCCAATCCCTCTTCTGTTGCTCCGTCCCGTAGAGATGAAGAACCTCCATGTTGCCCGTGTCTGCAATGATAATAATTACGCTGTAATATACGTGCCATGCAGAAGGGCCATTGCCCGAAAATGTCGCCTGCTATACACCTTCCCTATTAAGGGTGCAGTATTGTTGAGATAAGCATTGAGTTTTGTTGTCAATTATAACAACGATGATGACGGTGAGGACACGTTGCTGTTAAAGGTGGAAATAAAGTCCACACGTATCCACAAATGCGATGATTGTGCGTATCCCCAGTGGCTTCCTAATATTGGAAGGAAGAGCGTTCCAGATGGCCACAGGTGCACATCTGAAAGCGCGCGATGCGGTGACCATCTTTGTTCGATGGACAGCCAAAAACTGCTGCGTGGATGACCAGAGTTTGCAATAACCACCACCACCGCCCCTCTATAATGGTCGCTATGTATGTATTTGAAACTTCGTTTCGCACCGTCCATAGCCAACCGTGCTAATCAAAGGACAACACGCTACGTCTCTCAAGTGGAGATGCTGGTATACTGGCCCCAGCACTCGTTTCAGATAAAATCAACTCAAGGGAGGCTCAAAGAAAACAAAAGAGGTTCTCTCGCTACAACGAAGCGCCGACGAACACGGCCAGGAAGGAGGACGCTTTCAAGCGCAGCGTGGGATACAAACAAACGGCGCCGCCGCGTAAACACAGGACAAGCGCGACCACAGTCACGCACGCGTGGCGGATGCTGGTGGGCACCTTTGCGAAGAGTGGACAAAGTGTCCGACGTTACGTTCGTGCTCACGAGTTTGGGAGACGAGACTCTGAAGAGTTGTTTGGCGGTGATGCTGCTACTGCTGCTGCATTAGCAGTGGTCCACAAGCATGGATAACAACAATACCGCGCAACACGTCCGTCAGTACAACTGTGTGGCCTTAAAAGGAAATGTATATGGTTGGCAATATCTGTGGGACCCTTTTGCCATTACAGTAAAACCTTGGATTGCGAGGATAATTCGTTCCGGAAACGTGTTTGTAATCCAAAGCACTCGTATATCAATTGTGATCACGTGACGCTCGGCAGACAAAGCGTATACGTACTACTCGTATTGCAAAACCTCGCTCGTTTATCAAATTAATATTTACTTTAAAAATTTGCTCGTCTTGCAAAACACTCGCAGACCAAGTTACTCACAATCCAAGATTGTATCTTGATACTGGCAAAAGGGTCCCCACAGATATAACTGCTTGACACAAGTTAGTAATGCTTTGATGCATTGCCCTTGTGCTGTTCGACTTTTGGCGGAATTTGGTCTTTCACTGGTGAGACAGAGCTGTCTCTGGTGTAGGCCAATCCGTTCCAATTACATCATCAAAGCATGTTTATACTGGTAGGAACCTCCTGGTTACACCAGCCCACAGGGGATTATTGTGTCCGTCCGTCCGTCGTGCATCCAAAAATTGGAGGGGTGGGGCTGGGTGGAGAGGGGAGGGTGGGGAGGGGCTGGGTGGGGAGGGAGGGAGGGGCTGGGTGGGGAGGGGAGGGTGGGACGGGGCTGGGTGGGGAGGGTGGGGCTGGGTGGGGAGGGGAGGGTGGGGAGGGGCTGGGTGGGGAGAGTGGGGAGGGGCTGGATGGGGAGGGAGGGGCTGGGTGGGGAGGGGAGGGTGGGGAGGGGCTGGGTGGAGAGGGTGGGGAGGGTGGGGCTGAGTGGGGGGTGGGAGGGGTGGGGCTGGGTGGGGAGGGGCTGGTCACCCCGTGGTGCCCTTATAAAACTCAACGTTTCACCTACTCACACCGGCTTGTGCCCGCCCTCACAGACGGACATATTGTGCTGAACACACCACGTGCCGCCGTTGACCCTGGCCATTGACCGAGCAACCCAACATTCTTACCAGCTCCCTCCGCAGGAATGTGTTTTAGATTCATGTTTTTGTTCCACAAGTATGTGTGGTTAATGCAGACTCGTTGCCTTGTGATAGGTGACTATTTTAAGCCTGAGCATCTTAACACCGGTATTTATTATTACAAATCATTAAAGAAGCATTGTTTCAGGCAATGGGCCTCCTTCGTAACACATAAACTATATATAGATTTTAAGGCAGCGTTGTTGACGAATGTGTTGAGATCGTGTTTACCACTGTTAGTTCTAAACTAGCTTCAAATAAAACATTAGAGTACTCACGTCACTCCGGTTATACACCGCGCGTCAGGACGTTTTTTTGCCAGAGGATGTTTCGGATTTTCCCAACAAACGCGTCACAAACGCACGCACAAGTTCAATTCGAGTACAAGGTTCGATGACAGATTCTTGAGACTGCTGCCAAAACGTAACCACTTCCTCTCCATGATAAGGTCAAACATATCCAGCCAAATGTTGCTTCCACAATAGATGCTTTTTGGGTTAGATCGCGTAAATATATAAACGCGTCGTTGAAACCCGCCACCACCCGACACAGCCAACTAGTAAGGGTTGTCACGTAAACAGAACGTGGCCAATTAGTCACTAGTGTAGTAAACAGAACATGACGTGTTAATAATAATTTCTAAATTTAATAATAATAATCATCATCCTCTTCTGCTTTCGTATAGCCGATGTAGATGCAGAGCAGGGAGTTTCACAACATCTGTGCGTGGTGATCCACCAACCCTTGCTGCTACCTCCAGTGCTGGTTGACAGGCAGCCACGTGCATAGTCAGCCACAACCGCCCGACTAAACTTCTGGTTTGTGGCATAAACCAAAATAACCCTCGACTCGATATCCAATCCTGCTAAAACCCATGCGACCCGCGAAGACCATTAAACCCGACCTATTGAGATGATGCACAGCGGGAGAGTGAGAGATGGCGGACGGCTTTGGGAAGGAAGGCTTTCATCCGGCAGTGGATTGAGCGTGGCCGATAATGATGATGATGATGCATAATAAATGGCGACCTGTCTGCCTAAACAGAGGCTTGCATGAGCCGCATTTCACTAGCACAGGGGGTCGGCAAACCAAAATGACAAGAAGAGGCATTTTTTGTTCGAATTCGGTATTAAAAAAAGATTTCATAACGCGGCGAAGCAGTCCGTAAAGAGCCTGCGTGCGGCTACGGCGCCGCAGGTCGCCGAACCCCCGCACTAGCGTCGTATTACACCGACAAAAAAATGTACGTATATATTTTCTTTACGTATTCACAATTTCCCGTGGAATTTTTTCTTTTCAATAATCGATGTCAGCCCGGCATCATTTCGAAGGTAACCAAAAGCAATTTCCTGCCACGAATGAATCACACTTTGTATAAATCTCACGTTGGCCACAAGAACAACAAAGGATACTGTGATACGGTATGTGACGAAGCAGTCCGTATCCGTTGTTGCGGCGTATACCTCGCTGATCTTGTCAAGGAATATAAACCATCATCACGCAAACTCCAGTCACCCTTGCGTCAGCAGCTGTTTTTTGGCTGGCCATCGGACAAAGACGGTCCAACGCATTGCGCGGCGCTTTCAAATGCCGCTTCTGCTGCCGCTTTGGAACGCTCTCGCTCTTCGGATATCAGGAAGCCACTGGAGCTGTGCACTTTTAAATAATCGAGATTGAAAACTAAATTTCTTTAGAACTGCTTTTTTGTGTTTAGGTTGTTGCTCGTCCCCCCCGCATCTCCGATTAGCACGATTGGCTACGTACGGAGCGAAATAATTTCAACATACATACATACATAAATATTTTGCCACCAACTAAGCTGTGGGTGTGTGACCTTTCATCCTCTACAATTAACCAGCAAACATTTCCGCACATCTCAAAAGGAAATTACATGCCAATGGTCAAAAGGAAACATACTTTTTAATTTTATTGTATTTCTACATATGTGACTTTACCGAAAAAAACAATGAGTTATTTTATGCAGTCACGAAAGCATTAATACCTTATCATACTTTTTTAACTCGGCATCGAAGGAAGCAGTTGGACGTTTTAAGGTTTTAAGAAAGTGCCACCATATGAACCTATTTCCAGTTTCCAAGGGAAACCATCAATGTGGAAAGGCTATTAATGCGAGCATATGGAACACTACGCTCGTCCTCATGCTGCTGCATATTCCCGTATGAACATTTCCAAGTATTCGAGAGAAAAACACAAAGATTTACCGCATTGAAACTGAGGCAATTCAGACATATATCAACCTTTGCTTTATACGGAAAACGTTGGCTCTGAGTCTTTTGAAATCATGTGTATATTTCCCCCATCTCCTCCTCCTCCCCTTCTCACCTCCACATGCTCGGGATCTCCCTCCTCAAGTTGGTCTTACCCCCCCCCCATCACCTCCTCTTCCCCTAATAATCCCCCGCCCCCAACCAACCAATTTAAGAGCCCATTTCCCGCCCACCACCGGCCAGACGCCCCCACGTGATTGGGGCAGTGGTCCAGCTTGTCCCCATCATTTATGCCCCACCCTTAAATGGCTCTGTCGTTTTGGGATTGTTTTTCCCCGCGAACGAAATCACCCAGCTGTGCACGCTATGCAGCAACGTGCTGTGTGACGGGCCTGCGTTCTTGTCTCAAAAAAAAAATGGGTTAGATCACGTACATATAAAAGTGTCCTAAAACCCGCCACCACCCGACACAGCCAATTAGTCAAGTTTGTCACGTAAACAGAACGTGGCCAATTCGCTATTAGTACAGTGCACCGGTGTGTTGGAGAGCAAAGCCACAACATTTACAATCTGAGTATGACGTTTCGCCAGTAATTACAACTGGGTTCGTCAGAAAACAGCCAGATTTGTGGAGAAATCATCCTGTTTCGTTCCTTAAATAATAAGTCGTACGTGTATCAAGGCCTCCCTTTTGATGCAAAGGGTTTACCACGGGCAATGCAATCGCTGCCCCAGAAATGTGAATCCTTCTTTAGGCTGAAGGAGGAATCCGATGAGATATGAAGCTCTTTTTCACAGATGTCCAGCAGGGGTGGGTCAAAAAGTTACAACAAACTAAACCAAAACAGAGAGGAGTGCAAAGTATAGGAATGGTAAGCAGGTCATTAAAAATAGGTGCAAAAAAAGACCCAAATAAATCAAGTCTAAGTACAAACTGCAGAAGCACATCGATCCCTGCCGATTTTTCAGCAATAAATGCAAGCTTTGGCGAGGCAACAAAACAACAAAAACAGTCCCAGACCAGAGAAAGACAACACACAGCAGCCCTAAAAAAATGCACATTAAAGTGGAACTATTGATACAACACGGCTAAAAAGGATCCAAGTTGGGAGGCCGCAGAGCGAGTCATTAACCAAACGTGCAAACGGCCTGAAACACATGTTTACCACGTGTGTGTGTTTATGTGTGTGTGTGTTGGGCGGTATGTGTGCAATTTTATTGTTTCTGGGGCCAATAGGGTTACCCTAACGAGATTCTCCCTCTTTGAACTAAGCATGAAACGAGAGACTAATTTTTTAAGCGTGAAGATTAAAGCCTTGGGGGGGTTAGGCAGGAAGTGTCCCCCTTGCAGGCAGGATGGCGAGGGCCACTTCTTTGTGCGTTACACTTCTTTCGCGCCGCACGTAGCCAGCCGCGCTAATCGGAGGTGCGGGGGAAGGACAACAAACTAAACACAAAAGCAGTTGCGTGAAGAAACGATTTTTCAATATAGATTTAACAGAGCATAGCTCCAGCGAGCGGCTTCCTACTATCGGAAGAGCCTTCCAGACGGCCGCAGAAGCGCTTCGGAAAGCGCCGCGCGATGCGGTTTGACCCTCTTTGCTCGACGGCCAGCCGAAAGCCGCTTACCCGGCGCCTGGCAGTTGAATATCTCGGGAGCGAAGACGCAACGCCCCGTCTCCTCCGCCACGAAGGCGTAGTCCAGCTGGCCCAGGCCGCTCACCGCCGGCAGGAACAGGTTCCAGAGGCCCGCCGCCTTAGCCCTGTCCTGAAGCGGGCCGCCAGACAATACACCAGGGCGGCAGTTTAAACAACAACAGAACTCTCGAACGTAATTTAACGTGAAGATAATTGATTAAATATGGCAGGGAATGGGGTGACGATAGAATGTCTCGGTGACAACAAACTGTACAAGAGTCAAACTGTGTTGTTCAAAGAATAACTAAGGGGGGGGGTAGAAAACTAAATAGATGCAGTTTATTTCATCACCTATTTTGTTTATTAAGTCAGAATGCGTTTGCCATCTGCTGTATACATGCTGCTGTGTTCGTGTATGTGTACAAGCAGCTCTGCATGTGATGCAGCTCGGGAACTATTTTGGTCAAAGACAAAAACATATAAAAATGGCTCTTCTTCTTGCCGACCCCAGCATTACACGGTGTTCATAAAATCATCTTTCCCATTTTAAATGTAAATTGAAAGAAAAAAAACACCCAAAACCAATTAGACAATCAAAAAGAGTGGTCAGCGCAATCTTTGTAGCCCAACGCAAAGAGTCTTTATTGACACTGCCAGCCGACTTGCGACTTGCACGTGTGAACCCTCAGCAGCTCTCAGCACGTCCGACATTCAATTTCAGTCCACGGTGGCTGCGACAAGTTTTTCACGGTCGCCGGTTTGCGGGTTTGCTCTCCGCGCACAGGAGTGCGAACCGTAAGTAAACGGTGTCAAGGAAAAAAAATATATTTTGAGTCAAGCTACAAGATGACACCAATTGCTCTTTTTTTAATGTCTTATCGGTTCGTTTTAAATGAACGGTCATCCTCGCAGCAGCGGCGTTTGGCTGGCCATCGAAGAAAGACGGTCAATGCATCGCGCGCTTTCAGATGCGCTTCTGCGGCCGTCTGGAATGCTCTTCCTTCTGATATTAGGAAGCCACTGGAGCTATGCAACTTTTAAATCATACACATTGAAAACGCGTTTCTTTATAACTGCCTTTGTTTCTAATTGTTGTCCTTCCCCCGCACCTCCGTTTAGCGCGGCCGGCTACGTACCGTGCGAGAGGAGTTCAACATACATGCAAACACCCAACCACGAAACCAACGCCCGTCCGTATTCACAGAGAGGCTCCTCTCTCTCTCCCTCTCCAGGGTGGCACCTTGAGCTGTTGGATGATGGGAGGGCGTTTCCACCGCAGTGGGGAAGAGGCGTGCTGCTGGTAGTACTGCAGCACCTCCTGGGGGATGCAGAGGGGCAGCGCACGTCACCGTCCGTGCCCAGCTCTCCTCTGGGTTCCGTAGTCCAAACAATAGCACGTCGCCGTGAACACGTCCTCAAACAGGCTTTCCCAGGCTAAGAAAATAAATAAGTAATGCCACTTATTTACTTAGTTAAGTTTTACGCGTTATGAAGAAGGGCAATTAACGGAAACCTTTCCTTTCCGATATGTATTCTTTAAGCACCACAGTGTTTTTTTATTATTGTACCGAGTATAGTTTTTTTTAATAAAGTCTTATGGAGCCTCAAGTCTTTTTTTTAGCAGGGTCCAACATTGAGATGCTTGGCCAATCCTGGTTAATGAGAGTGTGGCTTGTTGGTCACACTCCAGGGGCCACACAAGTAGCTTCAAGAATCCATTTGATTCAATTCCCTCTCCTGGCTACCTTGCATCCCGAGCCTCCAAAGCCCTCGGTATTCTTAGGTTAAGCAGGCTCCAGACCCGGGATCACAATTTAGAAATTGTAATGGACTGCAATTGCAGCATAACTGTTGTTGTATTTTCAGAAAACAGAACTGCCAAAGATCTACCGTATTCATAATTGAGCCCATGTCTGTCCTGAGTTTTATGAAAGTCTAAGAAGGGACTATGGGACTGTTGTTGATATTCCACAATATTGTACCTATGTTATCGACCCTGTAAGCATGATGACCTCAGCTGCCCCCCACCATGTGGAAATCTGATGCCACCACGTCCCCAGTACGAGACGTACACTCGGCCATGGTACGACTGCACCGTCCAGATTACAAAAAAAAAACAGGACAAATTAATTCCTGTCCCATTGTGTGCATACCCCCGAATGTGTTTCCATGCTCCCCTGTCAGGCGTGGCCAGTAGATTTATGGGGAAAGTTTCATCTGCAACCATACATTTTGTACCAGCTGTTACGGGCACACCCCAAGAGGGTGAGCGTTTGGATAACAGAGAACAACATGGTGACGCATTTGCTCTCTCGGAGGAAGTGTGGTTGCGATCATTCCGAGAACTAACGGCGCTTATGTCCAAGAGAAAAAACATGAAAAACGGGGACGACAGGGTGCGTGGTGCAGTGGGAACACTTGCGCATCGCAGCAAGGGCCTGGGTTAGATTCCCCGCTTGGGTGACTTTCTGCTCTACTTTCCTCCAGCTTCTCCGGTTTACTCCATAGCTAAAAAAAAACCCCATCCCATCTAACGGGTATCACAGCAACAAGCGCCTGAGTTCGAATTCCGATCCGGGTGGCTTTCTGTGTTCCGCTCGGGTTTGCTTTGGTGTTCTTCGGTTAGCTCCAAAGCTAAAATAAAACGATAAAATGTTACCGATATTAGCCCAAAACATCCCAATGCTGAGGGATTATCTGCAAATCACTCACTTGCGATAATACATTGCAGCAACATCACCCCTCCCCCCACTTCTCTTGCCAAAACTTGAGAGGACCCTCCTGAAAAATCGTTCTGAGAGTCAGCGGAGCTTTCCCGGGTAAACAAGCATAAACGAATTGGGAAAATGAAATGACAGCTTCTCAAAAGCTTGATGCTCACCGGTTCTGCAGGGTAGATATGCTCGCGGAGGAAGGCCCGGACCTTGTCTAGCATCAGCTGGCCCACTGGTGAAGGCCTGAAGAGCTCAGGGGACCTGCACTTCCCTTCGACCTTGGCAGGCACCCTGCTGTAGAGAGAAACAGGCTGTGTGCTTTACGGCATCAAGTGCAGCTGTATGCATGCACGTTGAACCTCTTTCGCGCCGAACGTAGCCAACCGTGCTAATCGGAAGTGCGGGGGAAGGACGATAAACTTAAACGCAGCTGTGGTAAGAGCGCACTTTTTTGCAGTGTCGGCGATCAGAAAATCACGGAGCGTGTCAATTTGATTCCTCTTTGCACAACGATGAAATTAATACCATTGCAAATTCGCGGGAAGTTTTTTTTTTTTGTCACGACGACTTAAATGTACTTTAGAGACTAAAAGTTGACGACGTGACTCACGCTGTAGCTAAAGCGAGCGCCGTCTCGGCCAAAGGCTGCACGGCGCCGCAGAACTGGGAGGCGTTCTGCGCGCTGGCGTTGCCCAGGAGGTGGCGGGCGTACACTCCCTGTGCGGCACACCACACCGTGCAAGCAATACCACACCGCACCACGCCACACAGATTAACTCGATCAAGCGGGCATTATGGAGCTCTCCATTGGTACTCGTAAAATCAGCGGTGAAAACCACGCACAGAAGCGACGGCTCTCCTGGCAGGTTGGGTCAGCACCTGAATGCGATTTTAACTCGACAAACAAAAACCCTGACAAATGTCAGTCAACTGGTATGTCCACACATGCACTGAACTGCATCAAAGCAATCAGAGCGTCACTGTGATTTGATTTCATCGAGTTTCAAAAGGACGATGGCGTTCATTCGATTTTCGTCACATGAAGGGGATTACGGAGAGCAGTAAACACACTCCTTCAAAGAATTCCGCTTTTAAACATTGGTCCGAAAGCACCGTTAGGCCGGTGGACTAAAATATAATATTAACAATGTCAAGTGGAGGGCAAGGCCACCGTTAACCAGAGTAAACAATGCGTTGTTTTTCGGGGAGACGTGCTGTTCGTTGGTGCGCTTGGCCAAACTGTGTCCGCGTACTTGGGCAATGGAAGCGATCTTGAACAGAGCCAAGGCTATGAAGAAATTCCAGTTGGGCAGGGGGGCGCTGGGCGTTTCCCGGCAGCGGCAGTACACGGACAGGAGCTCGGCCTCCGTGGGAACTCCTGACACGCGGGGCGGGCGTGGGGGGGTGGCGCATGTGGGGAGGGGGGCATGACAAATAAAACAGCTCACAGCATAACATATATTTTTTGGAGAATACATGATGATCTCCATTCTGCGATCGCATGATGGCGTAACCTGCTCGGATATTTATCGTAGAATATTGTTCGTTTTTCAATGCAGGGTACGGTAATGAGTGGATGCATGCATTTGCAAAATTGACAGAAAGGCGGTGTGGCATCCTTCTCAGCTTAAAGTCCACAACAAGGCTGATAAAATCAACAACACGCCACGGCGAAATGACATACAAACCTTTGCTCTTCTCCCTGCCAAGTTGAACTCAAATACTCCGAGACACCAGGCACGGCACTGCGATAAGAGCTGAAACTTGCCGTCAACTCCTCCCCTTCTTCTTCTTCTTCTTGTTCTCCTCACCATGTTTCCCCACTCACACAGGGACAGCCGTTTCTGCCCCTCTATCGCCGCATATGTTTTTGCCAAACAAAATTTCCGATCATGAATTGTACTTGAGGACCCGAAGCCGGAATATCACAAAGGAGAAAAAAAACAAAGACTGTGATGGCTGTAGTGGCCACGCCATACGAATAGCACATAACCGCATCCCTAAAATTGCCCTGAGATGGACGCCTCCGAGCAAAGGAAAACCGGGGAGGCCAAAAACCACCCGGCGAGGAACCATCACGGAAGAGCTTGGTCGGATGAACCTCTGGTGGGGAGAGGCACAGCATGCAGCCAAGGATGGGAAAAGACGCAGAGAGCTCATTTATGGCCTAATATCCCATAGGGGATGAAGAGTAAGTAAGTAAGCATCGCCACTTAGTCCTCGCCTGGGCCTAGGCGTGAGTACCCGACTATGGAGGTATCGCCGGGCTCCTCTCTCCCGCGGGACAAACCGCGGACCTCGCTGAACCACTGCTGGAACGCAACGCGGGATGGCGCGCCTCCACCTTGACGCAAAATGTAAGGCGAAAAAGTGCTCGCCACAAATGAACCCCAGCGCCTCGCTGGCCTCGTCGAGGAGCGTAATAAACCATGGTCGCGCGAGCTCTGGTCATCCTCGCAGCAGCAGCGGCTTTTGGCCGGCCATCGAACAAAAGGCGGTGGTCACCGCATTGCACGCTTTCAGATGCGCTTCTGCGGCCCGTCTGGAATGCTCTTCCTTCCGATATGAGGAAGCCACTGGAGCTATGCACTTTCAAGTTGTCTAGATTGAAAACTCATTCGTTTAGATACTCTTTGGGTCTTTTGGTAAAGTCACGTAGAAAAATTATAAAATATCACAGTGGGCGGACTGCCGTGGCAGGAAGAAATATTTCTTCCTTCCTGCCTCGGCAGTCTCCGCCCGCTCTATTTTTTCACCTGAAGACGATTGCTTGTGTTGCGATCGAAATGTCGTGATTTATTATTATTTTTATCTACGTGACTTTACCGAAAGACCCAAAGAGTATGAATTGCTTTTTGTGTTTAGTTCGTTGTCCTGCCCCCGCACCTCCAATTAGCACGGTTGGCTACGTACGGTGCGAAAGAAGTTCCACCTACATACATCAAAGAATCGCCTAACTGCGACTGGGGTGAAGTCCAAACCAACAAACGGCATCACCGGCCAACGCGCCGTCCATGCAACGTCCTGGCGTTCCGGTGACACTGCGATCCACACAGCGTCTCCGCTACTGTCTCCTTGGACCGGTTGAACAAAAAAAGCATTCAACAATAACGTGTTTCAACACTGTTCCTTTTCCCTCCTGCCATACGAAATATAAAAAAAAACTGCACGTCCTTCGTATCCTGGTTCACGACCTCGCACCACCGCCGCCCCTCGCCTCTCGGTCCGCACCCTGCTGCTTCCCAGTTCCGTCACCTTTGTTCTTTGGATGTAATTTTTCTTCCCCTCCATATGGCTACGTTAAACATGAAGACACAGCTCACCGGGCACGGTTGGGATGGGGACGCTGCCCAGTCCCGAGGGCATGGCACCAGTTGGGAGCTGGTGGTACGGCAGGAAATTGTAGGCCAGGTCAGCCAGCGGGTGCCCTATCGTCGCCAGCTCCCAGTCCAATACCGCGATCACACGAGCCTGGGGATGCGAGCGTTTTGACGCGCACGAGACAAGCCGCCGGTCACCAACTGCCACCGACTTTCGTCAGCGATCGTCTTCGCTTTCTACGCGGGCGTTCATTGCCTGGCCCGAAGGCGCCGTGGCAAGGGAGCCAAAGCCACAGTCGGAAAGGTCCGTGTTAAAATCGCGGCTGCGGGTCGATTCACGCCATCATCCCTCTAGGGTCAATACATTTATCACGACTCGGTGAACGGCTGGCCTGTTGAGACTGGCCCTGACCACAGCGATGTATGCCGCTGATGGAGATGAGCACACCTCTCTCCTCCTAAGTATTATTCATACAGTGAGGGAATAAAGTATTTGATCCCCTGCTGATTTTGTACATTTGCCCACTGACGAAGAAATGATCAGTCTATAATTTTAATGGTAGGTTTATTTGAACAGTGAGAGACAGAATAACAACAACAAAATCCAGAAAAACGCATGTCAAAAATGTTATAAATTGATTTGCATTTTAATGAGGGAAATAAGTATTTGACCCCTCTGCAAAACATGACTTAGTACTTGGTGGCAAAAACCCTTGTTGGCAATCACAGAGGTCAGACGTTTCTTGTAGTTGGCCACCAGGTTTGCACACATCTCAGGAGGGATTTTGTCCCACTCCTCTTTGCAGATCTTCTCCAAGTCATTAAGGTTTGGAGGCTGACGTTTGGCAACTCGAACCTTCAACTCCCTCCACAGATTTTCTATGGGATTAAGGTCTGGAGAGTGGCTAGGCCACTCTAGGACCTTAATGTGCTTCTTCTTGAGCCACTCCTTTGTTGCCCTGGTCGTGTGTTTGGGTCATTGTCATGCTGGAATACCCATCCACGACCCATTTAATGCCCTGGCTGAGGGAAGGAGGTTCTCACCCAAGGTTTGACGGTACATGGTCCCGTCCATCGTCCCTTTGATGCGGTGAAGTTGTCCTGTCCCCTTAGCAGAAAAACACCCCCAAAGCATAATGTTTCCACCTCCATGTTTGACGGTGGGGATGGTGTTCTTGGGGTCATAGGCAGCATTCCTCCTCCTCCAAACATGGCGAGGTGAGTTGATGCCAAAGAGCTCCATTTTGTACTCATCTGACCACAACACTTTCACCCAGTTGTCCTCTGAATCATTCAGATGTTCATTAGCAAACTTCAGACGGGCATGTATATGTGCTTTCTTGAGCAAGGGGACCTTGCGGGCGCTGCAGGATTTCAGTCCTTCACGGCGTAGTGTGTTACCAATTGTTTTCTTGATGACTATGGTCCCAGCTGCCTTGAGATCATTGACAAGATCCTCCCGTGTAGTTCTGGGCTGATTCCTCACCGTTCTCATGATCATTGCAACTCCACGAGGTGAGATCTTGCATGGAGCCCCAGGCCGAGGAAGATTGACAGTTCTTGTGTTTCTTCCATTTGCGAATAATCGCATCAACTGTTGTCACCTTCTCACCAAGCTGCTTGCCAATGGTCTTGTAGCCCATTCCAGCCTTGTGTAGGTCTACAATCTTGTCCCTGACATCCTTGAAGAGCTCTTTGGTCTTCGCCATGGTGGAGAGTTTGGAATCTGATTGATTGATTGCTTCTGTGGACAGGTGTCTTTTATATAGGTAACAAGCTGAGATTAGGAGCACTCCCTTTAAGAGTGTGCTCCTAATCTCGGCTCGTTACCTGTATGATAGACACCTGGGAGCCAGACATCTTGCTGATTGAGAGGGGGTCAAATAATTATTTCCCTCATTAAAATGCAAATCAATTTATAACATTTTTGACATGCGTTTTTCTGGATTTTGTTGTTGTTATTCTGTCTCTCACTGCCCAAATAAACCTACCATTAAAATTATAGTCTGATCATTTCTTTGTCAGTGGGCAAACGTACAAAATCAGCAGGGAATCAAATACTATTTTCCCTCACTGTATATGGCCATAGTTAAACTCCAGTCTTTAATTGGGCATACGGTGTCAGATAAAGTGAAGTTCTGAATTTATTGTAAGCGTAACTCGACAGGACATTCTCTTGAGTCGATGGTCCACGCATTCAGTGCTCTTGAGTTGGTGGTGTGAGCAAGGCCGAGGGAACTTTTGCACACACCCCCCCCCCAAATTCTGCGCATGATACGTGTGTTGTTGGGTCTAAGCGTACCTCTGTGGGGTGATAAATCAGATTGTCTATTCTGAAGTCTCCGTGCACAAGTTTCGCCTCGCTGTCGTCGCCCGGAAGGTTTTTCTGCAGCCAATCGGACAGCTTGTTCATGCTGTCGATGTCCGTGTGTGCCGCGGCGTTGTATTGCTTGGTCCAGGTGAGCACCTACAGACACGCGTTCCAAGGTTGCCTCACTTCATGACGTAAGAAACTAAACAAAATCAACCAAACTGTGCACTCCCAGAAATGTGGTGCGGCTGATATGGGTTGCGTGAGAAATAATTTTATATTTTTACGTGGAGAGATGGATATCAAAAGGAGATGGATTTTCTTCTCATCATATTATTTTTTACTAGTTTATTTTTCACTTCGTTTTGGCTTATTGCGGCTGTGAAAATTAAACAATGTGGTTTAATTGTTACGTGACGAAGACCCTTTTATATATGGTCATAAGAGTCAAACTCCAGTTTTTAAATGGGCGAAAAACCTGGGGCCGGCCCAGAACACGCTGGCGGGACTATGTCGCTCGGCTGGCCTGGGACCGCCTGGGAATTCCCCAGGAAGAGCTACAGTCTGTTTATTGTAGTGTATAGTGTAGTGTATAGTAGTGTATAGTGTAGTGTATAGTAGTGTATAGTGTAGTATATGGTAGTGTATAGTGTAGTGTATGGTAGTGTAGTAGTGTATAGTAGTGTAGTTGTGTATAGTAGTGTATAGTGTAGTAGTGTATAGTGTAGTGCATAGTAGTGTATAGTGTAGTGTATGGTAGTGTAGTAGTGTATAGTAGTGTAGTTGTGTATAATAGTGTATAGTGTAGTAGTGTATAGTGTAGTGCATAGTAGTGTATAGTGTAGTGTATGGTAGTGTAGTAGTGTATAGTAGTGTAGTTGTGTATAATAGTGTATAGTGTAGTAGTGTATAGTGTAGTGTATAGTAGTGTATAGTGTAGTATATGGTAGTGTAGTAGTGTATAGTAGTGTAGTTGTGTATAGTAGTGAATAGTGTAGTAATGTATAGTAGTGTATAGTGTAGTGTATAGTAGTGTATAGTGTAGTGTATGGTAGTGTAGTAGTGTATAGTAGTGTAGTTGTGTATAGTAGTGTATAGTGTAGTAGTGTATAGTATAGTGTATAGTAGTGTATAGTGTAGTAGTGTATAGTATAGTTTAGTAATGTATAGTGTAGTGTATAGTGAAGTGTATAGTAGTGTATAGTGTAGTGTATGGTAGTGTAGTTGTGTATAGGAGTGTATAGTGTAGTAGTGTATAGTAGTGTATAGTGTAGTGTATGGTAGTGTAGTAGTGTACAGTAGTGTAGTAGTGTATAGTGTAGTGTATAGTAGTGTAGTAGTGTATAGTTGAGTGTATAGTAGTGTAGTAGTGTATAGTGGTGTAGCAATGTATAGTGTAGTGTATAGTAGTGTATAGTGGTGTAGTAGTGTATAGTAGTGTATAGTGAAGTGTATAGTGTCGTAGTGTATAGTAGTGTATAGTGTAGTGTATAGTGTAGTAGTGTATAGTAGTGTATAGTGTAGTGTATAGTGTAGTAGTGATAGTAGTGTATAGTGAAGTGTATAGTAGTGTATAGTGGTGTAGTAGTGTATAGTAGTGTATAGTGAAGTGTATAGTGTTATAGTGTATAGTAGTGTATAGTGTAGTGTATAGTGTAGTAGTGTATAGTAGTGTATAGTGTATAGTAGTGTATAGTGCAGTAGTATAGAGTGTAGTAGTGTAGTGAATAGTAGTGTATAGTGTAGTGTATGGTAGTGTAGTAGTGTATGGTAGTGTGGTAGTATATAGTAGTGTTGTATAGTGTAGTAGTGTAGAGTGTAGCAGTGTAGTGTATAGTGTAGTGTATAGTGTAGTAGTGTATAGTAGTGTATAGTGAAGTGTATAGTAGTGTAGTAGTGTATATTGGTGTAGTAGTGTATAGTGTAGTAGTGTATAGTGAAGTGTATAGTAGTGTAGTGTATGGTAGTGTAGTAGTGTATAGTAGTGTATAGTGAAGTGTATAGTAGTGTAGTGTATGGTAGTGTATAGTGTAGTGTATAGTGTAGTAGTGTATAGTAGTGTATAGTGTATAGTAGTGTATAGTGTAGTAGTATAGAGTGTAGTAGTGTAGTGAATAGTAGTGTATAGTGTAGTGTATGGTAGTGTAGTAGTGTATGGTAGTGTGGTAGTATATAGTAGTGTTGTATAGTGTAGTAGTGTAGAGTGTAGCAGTGTAGTGTATAGTGTAGTGTATAGTGTAGTAGTGTATAGTAGTGTATAGTGAAGTGTATAGTAGTGTAGTAGTGTATATTGGTGTAGTAGTGTATAGTGTAGTAGTGTATAGTGAAGTGTATAGTAGTGTAGTGTATGGTAGTGTAGTAGTGTATAGTAGTGTATAGTGAAGTGTATAGTAGTGTAGTGTATGGTAGTGTAGTAGTGTATAGTAGTGTATAGTGAAGTGTATAGTAGTGTAGTAGTGCTGGATGTCTGACGCCAGGGACAGGGAGGTCTGGACCTGCCACGACTCAGCACGCTGCTGCTGCGACCCTCACTAGGACAAGCGAGCTGAGAAACGAACGAACAAACGAATGAACGGACGGACACCTTTTGCAGGAACATATAAAGAGCAGTGCGGCCAATGAGGTTGGCTTATCGGAGCGACCTGAGATGTCGTTCCACAATATAGTTTCCTGGGGCCGTTTCAAGACGCAGGCGGCAACACGGTTCGCTGTCACAATTCCAAACGTAAATGTCTCCACGTTCGTGATGGCACGGCATCAATAGCAGAACTGGACTCAAAATTTGGCGAAGAAGAAGGAATGTAAGTAAATATTTAAACAAAACTTTCAAGCACTGTTAAAATGGCAAACATGTAGAAACTAATGGACAACTGACTTAAAGATTTCGTGACTGCAGGAATTCATATTCTTTGGGTCTTTAGGTAAAGTCACGTAGATAGATTCAAAGAAAATAACAAAAAAACTGCGACGTGTCGCTCGCAATAGGAAAACAAGAGAAGACGACCGTTTGTGTTGCGATCGAAACGTCGTAGTTTTTTTTGTTTGCTATTTTCTTTGAATCTATCTACGTCACTTTACCGAAGACCCAGAGAATTTGATGGACAACTGGTGACGATGATGACGATGATGTCGCATGGAGGCACGGGAACATTTTGCCGTGTGATCTCAGGTTTTGATGTCCAGGCAAGAGGAAGGTACGCAGTGAACCTTCAGAGACGTTCCTGGGGAGTGAGCACCATGGGCAGCCGAACAACTTGGCACTGCCAAGTAAGTGATCGTTGGTCACACGCTCACGAAGACCAAGAACCGCCGCAGAGACTGTTGGGGCAAGTGCTGTTAACGAGGCCGTGAGTGAAAATCGAACTTGGGCCGCCGGGTTCAGTAGCGCAGCGCACCAACTGCTACGCCACACTCCACGAGCACACACACACACGCGCACACGCGCACACGCGCACACGTACACGCACGTACACACGCACCTGTCGTTTGCAGTATCCTCCTTTCTTGCCAAAGCCACCGAGGCCGAGGCCCTCCCAGTCCAGCGAGTGGAGTCTGGCCAGGGTCTCGATCATGGCCACGTACAGCGCTGCACGCTCGGCAGGGCTGTGCCCCGGCAAAGCCGGATCTCGGAATATGCGGCCCTAGGGCACAGACACGGGCGGTGAGGCTGTGGCCCACGGCTGGCGCACTCTCGCTGCTTTGTTGCAGGGGTTCGCGGTTCGGATGTACGTATGTTGAATTTGTTTCGCACCGTGCGTAGGCAACCATGCTAATCTGAGGTTCGGGGCAAGAACAATTCATCACCAAAAGCAGTTCTAAAGAAATGAGTTAGTAATCTATATTTAAAAGTGCACAGCTCCCAGTAGCTTCCTGATATCAGAAGGAAGAGCGTTCCAGACGACCGCGGAAGCGCATCTAAATGCGCGCGATGCGGTGGCCGTCTTTGTTCGATGGCCAGCGAAAAGCTGCTGCTGCGAGGATGACCAAAGATCACGTGATGGTGGTTTACGCTTCGTTGACGAGATCAGCAGCAAGGTAATTGTGGTTCACTTTGTGAGTTGGTTCACTTTGTGTGTTAATGAGTGCGACCTTATAATGTGTCATGAGTGTGACCGTATTACTGTGCCGCCCCCCCCCCCCCCCCCGGTTAATAATTATGAGTGTGGTTGTGTGGTTTAACCGTAAAAATCCTACCCGCCGTGAGCTTCATTACAGCGGATGCTAAGGAGCCAGTGACGGCCGTTCAGATGAGTGGACCGTTGCGTACCGGGGGGTGGGGGTTGTCACGGTCCAAATTTGGCAAATTTGGACAAGTGACAAGAAAGTTACTCAATTTGAGCATAGAGTATGTGGGTAATGGTCGCCCCCTACTGCGTAAACTTGGTAGGGCCCTTCTGATACAAACAAAAACCATGAGACTCGGGCTTTCCTGGGTAACCAATAATCTTTTAAATAAAAACATGAGCCACAAGAGCTATTACTGCGGCTAATAATCAGCGTGAACTTGTAACTAATGAACAAGCAATACACGCAAACGTTGTTACCGCGTGGTGCTTCACTGGCCAGCGTGCCACACCGTGAACCCAGTGACCCGAGTATTGATTTCCGGCGATGGTTACCATCAGTGGCGAGCGATATCAGAATCAGTCCTGCCCAGCACTCCCCCCCCACCCCCCTATGAAACACCCGCACTGACGAGCGTGGTGAAGTATGGTTAAAAAAAAAACCATGACCGTCATGGCGTGGGCATTCTTCCATTTGTGGATTCAGGAGAATGGCTACAATAAATAGCCATTTATTTATTTATTGCAGGACAGTTCCTTATTAGGCCACTGGGTCAAACTAATTATGGACTAAACAATATTTTAGATTAGATTTAGGTGACTGATAGTTGCAGAAGGTGCGTGGAACGATGCATCGGTTCATCAACCTCGATTCTCGAGCGCACGACACGTAAAAATTAATCGCATACAAAGTACCGTATATGCAAGAATGTTTTATTTTTCGATTCACGTACGTTGTATGCAATGGGTTAACCTCTATCACCTCTGCAGCCCCCGAGAGACGACGCCAGCACTCACTTAAAAATGAATGCAAGAACCAATTTCTTGACTTGAATTAACACCCGGAAGTGATAATTTAATCTAATGGCCACAGGTGGAGGTGGAAAGGGTGGTACATGGTTCCAACCCCGGGTGCAGTAGTATGACCGGCACGTGCCCTTGCTCCAACGAGCAATCAGGAGACATACCTTAACGTGCTCCATCACGTAAAATGGAGTTCCGATGATGGACTTGTCTTGGCAGTACAGAAGTGGCCGGGGCACAGGAAACCCCACGGAGCTCAGGGCTTGCTGCACCCGAAACTCCCTGTCCACCTGCATGATGACACGCAACTCATGGGCACCGTGGTGTTCAAGATCAGACTTTGAAGCCTTGCCCCATTGCTTTGCCTACAAATAAATGTTCCCACGTCTGTGGTCAGTACAGAAAGTTACCGTGCGCCAGTTTCCTCCTCTACATACCTTGTCCCTTCAGTCACCAAAAAAAGAAACACCTGCCCCATAATCCTCTTCCCCATAACCTACTTTCCATTTCCTATGAATGTCTTCCTTCTTGTACATCACCCTGAGATGCAACTGCATGTAGACGCTTTAAACAGTCTAAATGCACAGTTGTTGACCATGTACAGTTGTTTTTTAATTGTATTGTTTTTTGTTTTTGTTGGTGTTGGTGTAACCGGGTTTCTCTTGTGCAACCGGGTCCCCGTGGAAAATCCCGAGTGGCTGAGTTGCCCCGCATGGGGCTAACGAGGGCCACGTTGGCAGCATGCGGAGGGGCTAATGGCAAGAACGTTGCCACACAAACTACCACTGCATGTGGCTGAACCCTCAAAAGCAAATATGGGCCAGCAGGCTTCAAGTGTTTTTGTTTGGAGATGAGGGCCACCGAATTCCTGATGGGTGCAAACCAACAACAAAAATCCCCCCACCCCCTCCGTGTAGCCTTAACAGACTTTTGAGCCAAGTGCTGTCAGCGAGCACCTATTAATGTCGGCACGGCACACGAGGGGGCGGTTGGTCAGCATCACGCCGGGCCACCTATCTCGCCAGTGACGATGTTTACACATCGCACCATGTACTCATTTGATGCTGAGTCGACCTAGGCGAGGCCCAGGACCGATTCACATATTCGTCAATGATGTTCACCTTGAGCGGGAATCGAATCCGGGTTTCCGGGGGTTTTGTAGTGCAGCGCACTGACCACCTACACTGCCGCTACCCGCGCACACGGACACACGCGCCGACTTTGCGCTCTGCAAATCCAGAGGGCACGCGACCACCCCCTTGCTCACACACCTGGTGGGCTCCAGGCAGGAGGGCACCTGGAGGACTCTTGCGCAGTACCAACTCCTGTCCCGCGGCCGTGCGGAGGTAATACGTGGGGTTGGACTGGCCCGCGCTGACAGACAGGGTCATGTGGGTGGGTGGGTGGGGGGAGATAATCAGGGTAGAGCCGTTAGCGTAGCTTCGTCTGCCCACAAACGCTACCGACAGACACATCACAGAATATTGGTTGCTTTTTGGGCAATTGCAGTACAATTGGACTTCCCCACCGCCCCTTCCCCATCGCCTCTTGAGTTTCCCTTGCTGAACCAGGCCAGATGGCATCGTTGGTGAAGAATGCAACTCACAATGAGTTCAGCTGTAAGTTCAAATCAGGGGTTTTACTGACAATAATAGTTTCAACTTGGAACGCGCCACGCAATAATCTCTCTCTCTCGAGAGAGAGAGAGAATGACTCACAAGGCGCGAGGAGCTACAAGCAGGAAAAGCAGCCAGAGGGCGAGCCGGCGCCAACAATTTCCCAAGCTCTGCGGCCCTCTCTATATTAAGGAAACCCGAGCATCATCTACCCCATTGAGACGGAAGAGTCCACATTTTTCGCCCAACGGTGGAGTACTGTGTCCTGCCTTCTCCGGGCGAATCAAACGACACCTCGAAGCTCACGGGAAGGGAGTTTCGCAACAAATGTGCGATCCACCGAACCCTCGCATCCACAGCGCTGGATCACCGACACGGCCCGTCACGATGTGGTCCATCAAATGGGGCCGTCCATAAATGACGTCACGCGATTTGGGACGATTTTGACCCCCCCCCCCCAAAAAAAGAATATATAAACATGCTTCAAATCGCTTCAAACTATTGTCATTGCAGTGCGTATTTAATGTGGCGCTGCACTCTGACGTTGTAGGAGAAAACATTTATTATAAAGTCTATTTAATTAAGTACAACGTATTCTTAGTTTTTTCGGTAAAGTCACGTTGAAGAGAAACAACAAAATAACAAAATATATATAAAACAATAAAAAAAATTCTCACGACGTTTCGACCATAACTCAAACGGTCATCATCAGGTGTGTTGGTTTGCATAAATTTATTTTTAAACGGCACATTTATTTATTTATAAAAAACGTTGGCGTCACGCGCCGCGATTTGGCAGTTTGCCCAGGACCAGTCCATCTATTTTTTTTAAAAGAGGAGGGGGGAGACGAAATTTTTTATAATGTATGCTGTCTGAAAGCCACTGTAAGCGTGAACAATCAATTAAGAACTGAAATGGTTTATCAAATCTTTCCAATGATTGCTAAGATAGAATCCATCTTCTCGGTTGAAATTGTCTCTGTGCTTGTATATGTGGATAGCCTCATGAACGAATCTCTCATGGAAGCCAGATGGCTTACAAAGAACCTCCGTCTTGGAAAAGTCAATGGCATGTGAGCCTACTGAATTAGAACAATGATCTGCTACGGCCGAGGTGTTGGTCCTACCGTGTTTAAGGTCTCCCCCCTTTCTCCAGTTATAGCTAACATTTTCATGGAGAAATTTGAGACTGACGCCATCCAGACTGCCACTCTGCGCCCAACCTTATGGAAGAGGTACGTGGATGACACTTTTGTCATCTGGCCACATGGCCGGCCTGCTCTAGACCAATTCTTCGACCACATCAATTCCATACACCCAGCCATCAGATTTACCATGGAAGTCGAAATAGATGGCAAGATACCTTTTTTGGATGTCCTAATTAAAAAGAGACCTGATGGTTCAATGAGCCACTCTGTCTACAGGAAAGCTACCCATACGGATGCTTATCTGAAACCGGATTCCCACCACCATCCATCACAGAAGAATTCTCTCATCAAGACTCTGTATCATAGAGCCCAATGCATATCCGACCAGGAACACATAAGCAGTGAACTCAAGCACGTACACCAAGCTCTTAGGGCTAATGGTTACTCCGACTATACAATCCGCAAAGCTATCACTCAAACCATGAAGAAGAACCCTCTTGAGGAGCCTTTCAAAACCATCACTTTACCCTACATTGCTGGGATCACAAAAAAGATCTCCAAAATCTTGAATAAACACAAGATCCAGGTCCGTTTCAACACATTACATAAAATCCGTGATCTGGTTCCGTCTGTAAAAGATGTGATTCCGGACATACAATACCCTGGTGTCTACAAACTAAGTTGCCTCTGTGGTAGTAGTTACATTGGAGAAACCAAACGCCATGTCTCGGACCGCATTCGTGAACATAAAGCAGACCTTAAACACGGTAGGACCAACACCTCGGCCGTAGCAGATCATTGTTCTAATTCAGAAGGCTCACATGCCATTGACTTTTCCAAGACGGAGGTTCTTTGTAAGCCATCTGGCTTCCATGAGAGATTCGTTCACGAGGCTATCCACATATACAAGCACAGAGACAATTTCAACCGAGAAGATGGATTCTATCTTAGCAATCATTGGAAAGATTTGATAAACCATTTCAGTTCTTAATTGATTGTTCACGCTTACAGTGGCTTTCAGACAGCATACATTATAAAAAATTTCGTCTCCCCCCTCCTCTTTTAAAAAAAATAGATGGACTGGTCCTGGGCAAACTGCCAAATCGCTGCGCGTGACGCCAACGTTTTTTTATAAATGAATAATTGTGCCGTTTAAAAATAAATTTATGCAAACCAACACACCTGATGATGACCGTTTGAGTTATGGTCGAAACGTCGTGAGAATTTTTTTTATTGTTTTATATATATTTTGTTATTTTGTTGTTTCTCTTCAACGTGACTTTACCGAAAAAACTAAGAATATGAATTACTGCAGTCACGAAAGCTTTAAATCAAAATTTAAGTACAACGTGTTGTCTATATTGATTTAAAGTTGTGCATTTTGATGTGATGTCACATTTCTCAACCTCCCCCCCTCGTCACAAATGTCTGACCCCCCCCCCCCCCCCGGTGCGTGACGTCATTTATGGACGTCCCCAAATGCATATTTTTTGATGAGTCACCAGTGCGGAAAGCGCAAATGTGAAATTTCCACGAGTGGATGCGTGCCGCAATTTAGCTCTTGTAAAGGAGACACTTTTACCCGGACTTCTCAGACGTTGGTTTAACACTTGGCCGTGTTGCAGTTCGTGTGCGTGAGTGGCAAAGACAAAGATCCCCCGCATAGCCTTTAACAGACTGTCGAGGCAAGTGCTGTTATCGGTAAGCGCACTGCGCTACGAACCCGGCGACCCGAGTTCGATTCACACCGGGTGACGATTATCTGAACGGGTCCTGGGCCTCCCCTAGGTCGACTCAGCCTCAAATGAGTACCTGATGCGGCGTGTTAACATCACCACTGGGGGAGACAAAGGCGGCCGGGCGTGGTGTTGGCCACCCAAACCCCTCGCGTGTTCGCGGCCGGCCTTCACAGGTGCTGCTCGCTTACAGCACTTGCCCCAACAGTCTGCTGAAGGCTACACGGTGGATCTTTGTCTTTGTGTGCGAGTGGCACCTGTACTGGCGCACGGACAGAAGTCCCTGGGGCCCATGGCGAGCCGGGAGATTGCGCTGCAGGAATTCCTGGAGGGCTCTCACGTCCAGAGGGATGCGCACCTCTGTGCTGTCTGCCATCGCTGCGTCTGCCTATGCGAGCGGACAGAGCGTTTGCGTTCTGCGTCTCTGAAATGTCTCGCCCTTGCTCTCTCTCTCTCGATGTCGTCCGCAGTCCACAGTCCACGGGTACTGTATCGAAGTCTCCTCCCTCTGCATGGGTCTGGGGTCATTCCGCCCCACGGTGACCCAAGCGGTCGAGTTGCGTCTCTTCCGCAACGCGTTCCGGGAGAGGGGGTGGGTGGGGTGTGTGGATTTCACCTCCCACCCACCCCACTCCTCCGTCGACTTTGCACCAGGGGGGCAGGGACACGGCGAGTTTGCGCCATGGGAGTGCGCTACAAAGACAAAGATGCCCCGGATAGCCTTCAGCAGATTGTTGGGGCAAGTGCTGTGAGCGAGTTGCACCTATGAAGGCCGGCACGGCATACGAGGGGGGGGGTGTTTGGGTGGCCAACACCACGCCCGGCCGTCTTTGTCCCGCCCAGTAGCGAAGTTTACACACCGCACAGGGCACTCGTTTGAGGCTGAGTCGACCTAGGGGAGACCCAAGACCGGTTCAGATAATCGTCACTGGATCTTGACCGTGAGCGGGAATCGAACCCGGGAGGCCAGGTTCAGTCGCGCAGCGCGTTAAGGGGCCGTCCATAAATGACGTCACGCACCGAGGGGGGGGGGGGGGGAGGTCAGACATCTGTGACGATGTGTGACGTGGAGGGGAGGGGAGGGGGGGTTTGAGAAATGTGACGTCACATCAAAATGCGCAACTTTAAATAAATATTAACTAAATAGAATTATTATAACAAAAACTTTGATTAATTTTGATTATTAACTATTTTATTATTTAAAATTACTAAGGTCACCTTTTATTTATTCCATGGGAGAATGGAGAAGCATAAATGTTGAAAAAATTTTGAACGATTGTTATAAAATATATATTTTAATGATTCTACCAGGGCTTTTAATTCTGTGGAATGAATATGTGATTGTTCTAATTGTACTTTCCATTTTCCTTCGTTCTACTACAAAGTTTCAAGTATTTTTTTATAGTTATAATTACTTTTAATATTTTATAATTATAAGATATAATTTTCTCCGATACCAAGGTTCTTTGCAAACCCACGGGTTTTTATCAGAGATTTGTTCACGAGGCAATTCAGATTTACAAACACAGACACAATTTCAACCGAGAAGATGGTTTCAAATTAAGCAACCATTGGAAAGATGTTCTAAATCGAACCAAACATTAAACTAATTTTCAATGGTACAGTATATTTTTTCAAGTAGTGGTATCCCAAACTTTCGCAGCTGCTTAAATTCCCTTTTCACACCATCAATATGTAAACTCCCCCTCCCCCCCTCGCCGGTCTGCACATGTTCACTCCCTCTACACCGTTCACCATGCTAAGTCCGCCAATTGAATGCTAATTTTTTATGCTAATTCCTTTGTCAAGGCACCTTAATTCCTCTCACACAAGCTTAAAGGTCACGGTCTGAGCTTGGCTGTGTTCACTCCAGCGCTGTCCTCGAGACAGTCTGGTCCCTTCACCTGATGAAGGCCACTTGTGTTGTGGCCGAAACGTCGTGATTTTTGTTGTTATATTTTTTACCTACGTGACTTTACCGAATAGAACCAAAGAGTATAATTATAAGAGAATTGCAATATCATATTCTGAACATCTGCAGTTTTAGTTAGAAGTTGAATATTTTCAAGTGAATTGCATACTCAATTTAAGCTTTCCAACGCCTTTTTAATAAATGTTTTCTCCTACAACATCAGAGTGCAGCGCCACATTAAATACGCACTACAATGACAATACTGTAGTCTAAAGTTATTTCAAAATGGAAATTTGGTGGGTTTTCTTTGGGGGGGGGCAGAGCTTTGTGACGTCATATTTTAGGGGGGGTCTGACTTTTTGTGACGCCGTGTGACGAGGGGGGGGGGGTCAAAAATCGGCCAAAATCGCGTGACGTCATTTATGGACGGCCCCTAACCGCTACACTGCCGTTTAACACGTAGGTTTTCGCGACCAATATCATCCATAATACAGGGGGGGGGGGGGTTTGGGGGGGGGGGTTAAATCGCGTAAATATGTGTGTCGTGACATCGGGGATGTCGCTGTATGGTGCCGGCCCAGGAGGGTTGAGGCGTGCGATGTTCCTACGTCGCGGACAGCACCGGGTGGGTTGCTGTGAGATGCCGGCTTCACTATAGCACGGCGTTCGCGATGTCGCTACACACGTATTGTGAGCATACTGATAATTTCGTGCCTCCTAAACAATGTACGTACAGTGCTTGTAACATTTCACATGTAAGTTGATGATTTATTTCAATTAAACCAATTTCGCAGATGTATTGACAATGAAGACAAGACATTGATGAAAATGCTAATTTATTCCGGTGTAGGTCAGAGTTATAATGACAGTCGATACACAGCTGATCATTTCCCAGCTGTCAATAATGGAACAAACTTTCAAAATAAGAATTATGAATGGTGATTGTTTTTTACTTGATGAGTCCAACACCATTGGAATGTGGAATTTTCACAATTGTCTTTGTGCCACCAATGCGTAGCCAACCGTGCTAATTGGAGGTGTGGGGAATGGTGATTGGGCTGAGACCATAACATCGCCCAGGAGGTTGGGGGTTCGATCCAGACTCCGAAGCCTGTATATTTGGAGTTTGCGTGTCTCTCTTCCCGTGGTCGCGTGGATTTTTCTTTGTCCACATTTAGAAACGCGCGTTTAGGCTGCGATGAATTCCCATTTGTGGCCTGGTCGCTTCTGAAAAACGCTGTCTAGCTCAGTGGGCCTTACCTGGTAAAATTAAAATAGTTTACAGTATCACTACACTCGAAAATCCAATTTAATCACAGGCAGTTGAAATCTGGATTTGAACCCAGATCCCAATGGTGACAGCCCAGTGAGAATCCCTCTTTCCCCCCAGCCACCTCATCGTATTCACACTTTTAATTTAATGTGTGTGCATGTGTAGAGTAAATGTGTTAAAGGTGTACTTTACCATTTGGAATGTATGATAAAAAAATTGTTCTAACTAGTTTGTAAGTGCTTCCAAATTTATGATTGCAGAACATTAATCTATTGGGGAACAACTTATTCTCGGGAGAGAGACCTGCGACCATACAATGGTCGATCATCCAATACCGTTGTGCCAGAGTTTATAAGCTTGGCATTAAGGCACTGATAAGGCTCGCTATTGTCTAAATATAGCAACCTAGCCTTTTGCAGTAAATCTGAAACTTGCAAGCGAAATGCAGACTGCGACGTGATATATTCATTGCATCCATTCGTGTGCAGTTTGTAAGGGCGCGGTGACACAGACCTATTTCATTTAAAGGTTAAAATCCCTTGTTCATCATGACGTCCTTTTTACTTTGATGTCTCAACAGCGTTACGGAGATCACGTGACGTGAGGGTTCTGCCTTTGTAGTGAGGGTTGTAAGTTGACGCTGAGGAGGGGGGAGGAGGCGCTGAGGAGGGGGGAGGAGGCGCCTCAGCCCCCATTGTGGAGTGACGTCACCCGCTAATTATTATTAATGAGGGGGGTGTCCATTTGGAGGACGTCACCTGTTCATGATTATTAATGAGGGGGGCTGTGCGATGTGGAGTGACGTCACCTTCTCATGATTATTAATTAGGGGGGGTTCTCCATGCGGAGTGACGTCATCCACTCATGATTATTAATGGGGGGGGGGGGGGGTCCGTGTGGAGGACGTCACCTGTTCATGAGTATTAATGAGGGGGGCTGGTCGACGTGGAGTGACGTCACGCACGGGACACAGACATTCTTGACTCATTATAGTAGTAAATAATGTCACAGCCTATAACATCCTCTTCATCGAAGATGGCATTCTTTGATGATATTCTGCATGTGTGGTCGAGGTGAGATGTTAATTTACATGCCACGTTTGATACTAATGTGAGTAAAATGTACTCACAACAGGTAGAATGTAATTGCATTGAAGTCATGAGTCATTTTGATAAATGCCCGACAATCTTTAATGATAACCTATGGGGAGATGCATAAACTATTTTACTGCAATGTTGCAATGAAATACCGTACAAAAACTTGGTCTTAAAATAAAATAAAAATTGCGAAAATGATTCAAGAACAAAAAACCTGAGAAAGGTTTATTAATGAAAATATTTTTAAAACCTTGCACTAAAAATAAACGAAAACCACACACTGTGGCACACCTTATGAACGCACCTGAACAGACCCCAAGGATCACGTGACCTCTCCTTAACTGCACGTGCGTGATCGTTTTTTTCTCATGCAAACTCAACCTTTGCAGAGTAATAATTATTCTGTGCGAGTAAAACCCTTATCAACTGGCTCGTGTACACAGCTTATATTCCGCTATCAATCCACGCAGGCTTCTGTTTGTAGACAAAATGTTGATATTGTTTTTATTCTGTAAGTGATAAAAAAAAAACTGAAGCTTACAACAAATGAATTCGAATATTAATACAGCATGTACTTTTTTGGTAAAAAATAATAATTTTCATCTGAAAATGTCCAAAACATTATTTCACAGATGCGCGGCCTTTTCTTCGGCCAGCCCAGCATCTTTCGCCATGGTGTAGAAGATGCCCCTCTTCTTCAGGAGAGCAGCCGGCGAATCAAACTCGGCAAGACAATCGCCGCACCATGCCTCTGAAAGCGACACAAAGGGTGAAATTATAACGACAATGACAGCGCCAGTTGATGTTTATGTTTCGCCAAAAACGAGCCCCACAGATTCCCCTGGCCATTCCCACATCAGCACCTGTGCCAGTAACAAATGGCCACCAGTCATTCCCCGCCAGATGACAATCTCGAGGGTTGTAGTGTCTTGTGTGAATTGCCAGCAAAAGTGGCCGTTAGCCACGCGTTCTTGCCCAAAAAAAAGCGGCTGTAAATGGTGCTACCTGCAAAGGTGGGAATAGCATCCAATTTAAGCAAATTGCCAATCCACTGCTGGATGAAGACGTCCCCGTGGCTCCGATATGGAACAATATTTAAACATCAGTAAAAGTATTATTTGAGTCTTTCGTTAAAGTCACGTAGATAGATTTTGATTTAAAGCTTTCGTGACTGCAGTAATTCATATTCTTAGTTCTTTCGGTAAAGTCACGTTGAAGGGAACAACAAAATAATAAAGAATATCACGTAGATAGGTTGAAAGAAAATAAAAATAAAATTACGACGTTTCGATCACAAAACAAGCGATCGTCATCAGGAGGAGAAAAGAGT